TGTGACATTTCTACTTCATTGTCTCTGTGTTCAACTGATGAAGATTTTCTTAAATGCTTGGCTCCCAAAAGTGGGAAGGTATATAAGTATTATTTATTCAAGTCTCCTGGAAACCACTTAAGCCTGTGGGAGTTTGAAAATGTCCACTAGCCTCTGCATTAGTCCCCCCAGTGCTCAAAAGCAGCACTGAGGAATCAATACACAACCCTAATATATCACCCACCCTAGCTCCAGCATTCTGAACCAGGATTGTGGGGCTGGGGAATGTGGGAAGATAGGTGCTATCACTTTAAAGGCTGAAATTCCCCCAAACTTACTCTTAATCAAGGTCTTCCCCACACTGCAAGTGTTCAACTAGACTCCAGAGTTCTAGAATAGTTCTAAAACAGACAGCTCCTGCCAGTGCAGGAGTGCTTTAGATGAGGTATGGACTTCTGGAACTTCTTTCTCTGCCTTCTTTAGAGATATTACTCCCCTTAGTTTTCTTGACCTCACTCTTAGGTAAGAATGTTTGCTAATATTTTTAAAAATATGATTTTAATTAATTTTTAGAGAAAGAGGAAGGGAGAGAGATAGATAGAAACTTTGACGAGGGAGAAACATCATGGATCAGCTGTCTCCTCCTAGCCCCCTACTGGGGATCGAGCCTGCAACCTGGGCATATGCCCTGACTGGGAATCTGCTGGTGACCTCTTGGTTCATGGGTCTATGCTCAAACACTGAGCAACACGGGCCAGGCTGTTTGCTAACGTTTTGTTTATAGGTTCGCCTCTGTTTCTGATTCCCTCTATTGTAAGTCGTAATGCACATTCACAAGTTAGAGACCTTTGAGAACCCCTACAGTCCAGAAGTAATCTGAGCACAGGAGCTTTTAGTCGTATTCCTATGAAGACCTCATGGAAAAGTGTTCTGTGGTCACCAGCTGAAAGCCTGCTTTCCTTCTTCCTCATAGAAGCATGAAAGCTTGATTTCCTTTTCTCCTTTCCTCCAATGTTTTCGTCTGTCCAGATCATCATCATGCTATATTTTGTCCTTTTCACAGTGTATTAGTTTTCTATTTATTTCCTCTCAAAACACCCTGTCATTTTGGAGAGAAAATTTGGCTTTTTGGCTGTCACAACAGAAAGATAATCCCACATAGCAAACAAAGTTCTATCTTTAGCATTGCTTTATGTCTAGCAATAAGAGCCAGCAATTTCTTCATTTCAAAGAATCCCAGGCAGCAAATGTGAAGCAGGAACAAACAGAGCTTTGGTCCGCTGGCACTACCACACATGTGTGCACTAAAAACTCAGATGGGCTGAGTTTCTCTTCTGGCATCACGGTGTCTCTCATGTTTACCCAGGGCTCTAACTATTGCTGGTGTCAAGAAGATACTGTTGACTATGCCCTCAAAATATGCCTTATGTCTCCCCATTTTACTACTCAGCGTCATAACTCAAGCCAAAAGTTAGAGGAATCTTCCTTGTCTTTCCTTCACATACCCTATCAAACCTGTCACCAAATCATGTGCCTCTTAACTCCAAAATATATTCTGAACCCACTGTTTACTATTCTAGTTGAAATCATCATCTTCCCTTACACTTGAGCTACCCCCGAAGCCTCTGAGATGCCTTTACTCTGGCCTCCGACACATACTTATCCTCCACAAACTTCAAACTGTGAATCGGATCACATGTCTTCTTCCCTAGGCAGCAGGGAGTATTAAAACCAGCTCCTTTAACATTGTGCACAGGTTCTCCATCCTCACCTGCTGCTGCTCCTGGTGCAGAATTTCCACTCCGTCCATATATCCCAGCATACACCCTTCATCAGGCCCTTCTGGCTTCTTGGTCTCTGCTCATTCAGTCTCCTCTATTTCAAATGCCTTTACAGTCCCTTCATGGTTCTTTTCAACTTAGTCTTCAAAGCTTAGAGAATCTCCACCTCCAGGAGGCTAACCCTGACACTCTGTGTACCCTGCTTTTCTATTTTAGAAAAATGTCTTGCAGATCATTTCATAAGAGTATATCAGTATGTAAATATTGCTACATTATTTTCATTGACTTCTAATGCAGAGATACCATTATTAGTCAATCAGCCCCTTGGGAGGGACAAATAGGTTACTTCAGACATTAATGCAGTGGATACATCATTTTCTATATTTGTGAGGAAGAGCTATAAGATAAATTTCTATAAATATTATATGTAGTTGGACCAGAGGATGTGTCTCTTGAATTTTAGCACACACTGTAATGTGGCACCAGTTTACATTCCCACTAACAGTGCATTAAATCCCTGTTTGCTTCCTTTACCAACCCTCTGTATTGATATTAAGCAAACTGAAAAGTGGTATTTATCATCTTAATTTACAATTCTTTTACTATCATATGGATGTAGGTATCTTTCCCTGTGTTTAGAACCATTTGTATTTTATTTTCTAAAAAATACTTGTTGGGGACTATTGGCTTTTCTTCTCTTGGACTATTAATCTTAGATTATCTAGAGGAATTATGATGCTATAGGGACCTACATAATAATTCTAGAAGTTCAACTTTACCTGCTTATTTAAAGAAAAGATATAACCCCCCCACCACACACACACACATACACACACAATGTTTTTAAAGATAGTTCCCAAGATAACTATGCTTGAGTTTTCTATGGCTCATGGTAAAAAATTCAACATAGCTTGAATACAGATTTTTTACTGAGGTACAATAAACTAAATCATAAACAGCTGTTGTACGTTCATAAAGAAGATGAAACTAGGACACACTGCAAATCAAATACTGCCAATATTACTGGATTTAACCATAAATTTCCAGTAAGGACTTCCAATCACTTTAAAGAGCTGAATAAAGCAGCTGAAAGAACAGAAGGAATTATAGTAACAAGATCCTGAATGGGAGGAGCACTGTTAGGACAAGGAGAAAACTGCTCATTCATTCCACATCAAAATTCTGTTGAGTGCCCTCAGGCCCTAAGAAGTAAAGGAGACATTAAAATTCTAGCAGCAGGAGACACACAATAAGCAAATGAGGAAATAAAAAGTGATAAACTGTAATATATGTGATTGTGAAAAAAAAAAAAGGAGAGTAAAGGGTGAAGAAGAGGGTAGTTTCCAACATTAGCTATGTGACCCAGGGCCTCTTTAGAAGGTAACAGCTGAGTAAATGTCTAGAAGTTATAACTGCAACCCATGCAGGCAGGTGGAGGTGGTAGGACAGAGCATCCCAGCACAAGGAGCGGCAAAAACCCGGGCCCCGAAGTAAGAGGAGAGAGTGGCATGGAATTTGAGGACCAGGGTGGAGTCCAAGGTGACCAAAATGGAACTGGGGAAGCTGAGAGGAACAGGAGATGAGATTCCAGAGCTCAGGAGGGGCTTTGACTCTGCATGAGGTGGAGCATGGAGCCAAAAACCAGTATGATGGCTTACATATTCATAGCTTTGCTCCTCTAGTCATCTTGAGCAGAAACAGGCGGAGAGTAAGGAAAGAGGCAGAGCGAAAATTTAAGGGACTGTTGTAATAATCCCCCCAAAAAGTGATTACCTGGAAAGGATCATGGCCTAGATGTAAAAAGAAATGCTGGACTTTGTATGGATTTGGAAGTGGAGCTGTTAGGAGGTTCCCATGGGTAGGAAGAGATGAAATCACCAGGTGGTGAGGTGAGTAGAAAAGAGGTCTAGGACTGAGCCTGGCAGCAGTTCAGTACTGAGAAGCCAGGGAAGGTCTGAGGAGGAGCACAGGGGAAACAGGGAAGCAAACCAGGAGCAAGCACTGCACAAGGAAACACGGCTCTCTCACAAATGCGCACTGGAGAAGCAATGTGGACAACGCGGAGTGAGAGGTGGGGGGTGCGGGCCAAAGCCTGAATGAAATGGGCTCAGGAAAGGATGGAGGAGACAATTTGGACACAGTGGTTCAACAACTCCCCAAGGCATGTTGTTATAAGTAAAGAAGACTATACCAAGAGGAAGAGGACATATGGTCAAGAAAAAATTTTAAAATAATAGAAAAATGATGCATGACTGTAGGATGATGGGGAATTTCAAAGAAGAGAATTAATAGATCTGTATTTCTTGAGTAAGCTACACAAAATGACAGTTGGTCATTACAGTATTAACCACAATATTCTAGCTATGCCAACAGAAGAACAGATGAATTAATTGCATAAACTAATATAATGGAAAACTATTTAGCAATGAAAATGAACATATAGCAACATGCAACAAAACTGATGAATCTCACAAGCATAATATTAAGAGAAAGTAGTCCAATGAAACAGAATGCACACTGTATGACTACCATATGATTCTATCAATATAAAGTTCTCAAACATTAAAAGGACTCTATTGCATCAGAAGTCAGAATCATGGTCACCTGGAGGAGCAGAGGGAGGGAGGAAATGGAAGGGGATAGGGTGGTCGCAGGTACAAACTGCAGTCTACTTCTTGACTGGATAGGAATTACTATTCCCTCTGTGATTATTCATTGAAAGGTATATTTATGCTCTGTGTAAGGTCCTGCATATATCTTATAATGTTCAATAAAAATTAAAATAAAGCAAGTTATCCTGATATCTTCAGCCTTAATGGAAGAATTTAACTAGAGCCGCATGATCACTTGCTACAGACACAGTAAAAAGACAAAAGAAACTTTAAAAATTGCTGATAAAGTTAATAGTTTTTTAAATGAGGCTGCTGAATCTCTCCCTCAAAACAGCAATATTTTCTTCTTTTTGTGGTAAAAATTAATATTCCATGCAGAAGAGAGCAAAAATGATATCCTAAAAATAATTTTTCTAACCCATGAGTGACCATCTATGTTCTTTAGATTAAACCCTACAAACAAGCCATCAGAGACAAATCGGTGCTTCTGTTCCATAAAATTATGGCTCTTTCCCCTGGCATGTCTCTATAATAAAGCGACAAAAATGTTCCTGACAACATTTTTGAGACAAATGCCTTAGGGACAAACTCACAGTTGGTGGCTCCTGGAGTCAGGTCCAGCACTCACCAGGGAGGGTAGATGTGGATGATGTCTTGGGGCTGCCCCCTGAGATGGTGTGCAGTCTCCTTGGTGAAGAGAACCTTCAGGCCAGGCCCAGAGGCTTCACATTGAGAAGAGCCACCAGCCTGCAGTCCCACTAACTGCTCACACATGGCGACTTGGATGGTGCATTCTTCATGCAGCTCTAGAATTTTCACAGTTAATACACCAGATCTGCTACCTGGAAGGGAAAGAAAAAAACAAAAGGAAAAATAAAGTCTAAAAGACATGGCTCAGGTATGAATAAAGGGACATGAACAAAAGAATCATGCTCGGATAGTTTCCTTCCCCTGGAAAAAAATGGTCTGTACACTTTGCAGACTAAAAACAGACTCTAACATGCTCCTCTATTTTTAAAGTCCAAAACGGCCTGTGTGTTGCATTAAAGAAATACAAAGTGTAGACTTCTATCATAAAGAAACAGTCTCGTGTGTATGGAAAACACAGACCCACTATTTCATATATCAAAGGAAGTATGGGCACCTAAGTGACCCTTCTTTCTTATATACTTCCTCCACCTTATTACCTGCTTTGATTTTCTACTTTCAAATGATGCAGTATGACTGGTTGGCTGCAACTGTTCTAATGATCATAAAGGTTAAAAGTGGCAAATGCATGTGGACTGCTAGGTGTTAGGGGTCTGGATTTAATGGGGGTAAAATTCTATTTGGATTCAAGTACTAGGTGTATTATCCAGCTAGACAAGTTATATAGCATTTCACCACCTCAGTTTTCTCATGTGTAAAATGGGAATCATGCCAATAGCCTCAATTAATATTTTTAAAGATTAAATGAGATAAATGAAGTTGACAGTCCTATAACTCAGAAATCCTGGATATATATTCTGAAACTCTTGTCACATGCACTAGGAGACCTAAACAAGGAAGCACATCTCAGAGGTGTTTGTAAGAGCAGAAAACTGGACCCAGCACTTACCAATAGGAGGATGGGTAAACTGTTGTGTGTTCATACAACAGAAACTATACAGAAATTAATGTAAGTGAGCCAGAGCTACATGTATCAGCATACAGAGATCTCAAAAAGAAGATGGGGTACACAAGATTGTAGAGTATGACACTTGTGATGTTATTTTTTTAAAGCACAGAAACCCATACAAGGTGGGGCAATAGTAGGTTTACAGTTGGGAATACATGAAACACAGATTTTATTCTTGTATTATTATTTATTAATTTTTGTACTGTTTTCCATACAAATAACTGTAACCTACTTTTGCCCTACCCTGTATAGTTATGAATACATATATAATAAAAGTACATAAATATGGACTAGTAGAATACATAGAAAACTCATGATAACAATTCATTCTAAACAGAGAGAAAAAGGAATGTGATTAGGAAAGGAAACTCAGAAGATTTCCAACTTATCTGTCATACTGTTTCTGTTATAAAATATGCAAATCAAAAATAAGAAAATATTAAAACGTGTTATTAATTCTTTGTGGTAAATACACTTATGTTTTTCTATTACTCTGTTTTTTAATTTAAAGAAATGAATTAGAGATCCAAAATGGCAATGGAAGAGGTGAAAGCTACACTTGCCTCCTCCCCAGGACCAAACAGGAATTACAACTAAATTACAGAACACTCATTCTGAATAACCAACTGAAGACTAGCTGAGCAAAAGTCTTATAACAAAGGGTTTACAGAAGAAGCCCCATCGAGACTGTTCCAAACAAGTTGCTGGGGGCCCGTCACAGGCAGTATCTTACATTGGCCTCCACCACAGTCCCACCCAGGCAGCCGAGAACCAACACACCCAGTGGCAAGATTCAGACATCAGAGCAGGATCCAATAAGCTTCACAAGCAGCATATCCAAAGGGAGATCTCAGCAGGCAGCAAACCCTACTGAGGTGAACCCCGCTTTGTGGGGTCAACACCCGAATAGCAGTTCGCATGCAGTGGTCAGGGTGCAGCCTCACAGTCAGTCAACCTGAGGGTCGATTCCATGCACGATTACCCAATAGCACTCAAGACTCAATTACAACAGGGGGCCCCACATAACCCACACAGGGGACATTTCTGGAGCACCCAGCTCAAGCAATCAAGGAGACTGAAAAACGGAACCCTACTAAGTAAGGAAATCCCACAAAGACTTGGAGTTATAGCAGATCTATCAAATACATAGAAATAAACACAAAGAGGCAGCCAAAATGGGGAGAAAAATGAAACAAGCTACAAATGAAAGAATAAGAGAAATATCCAGAAAAACTTAAATGAAATGAAAGCAAGGAATTTATCAGACATATCGTTCAAAGTAATGATTACAAGGATGCTTAACTCAGCAGCAAGAAAAAAGACAAAGAAACCCTAAAAAAGGAGAGTCAGAAATAAATAATACATATCTAAAATGAAGAACACACTGGAAGGAATAAACACTTGGTAGAATAAAGCAGAGGATCAAATCAATGATATGGAAGACAAGGGATAAAAAAACACACAACTAAACATAGCAAAAAATAATTTTTTTTTAATGATGATAGTTTAAGAGAACTTTGGCACAACATGAAGTGTAAAAACATCTGCACCATAGGGATACCAGAAAAAGGAGAGCAAGGGACCAAAAACCTATTTGAGAAAATAATGACAGAAAACTTGCCTAATCTAGTGACGAAAAAAAGACACAGAAGTCCAGGAATCACAGAGAATCCCAAACACAATGGAACCAAACAGGCCCACAACAAGACACATCATAATTAAAATGGAAAATATTAAAGACAGTTACCTACAAGGCAGCTCTCATAAGTCTGTCAGTTGATTTCTTAACAGAAATATCTCAGGCCAGATAGGGTTGGCATGAAATATTTAAAGTGATGAAAAGGAAGAACCTACAACCAAAACCACTTTACCAAGCAAGACTATCATTTAAAAGTGAAGGAGAAATAAAGAGCTTCCCAGAAAAGAAAAGATAAAGGAGTTTGTTACCACCAAACCATTACAAGAAATGTTGAAGGACTGCTTTAAGAAGTAGAAGCCCTAGCTGCTTTTGCTCAGTGGTTAGAGCATAAGGCCCACGAACTGAAGGGTCATGGGTTCAATTTCGGTCAAGGGGACATACTTCGGTTGCAGGCTCAATCCCGGTTCCAGGTTGGGGAGTGGGAGCGGGTCTAAACCGGCAGCCAGACATCCCCCGAGGGGTCCCAGATTGGAGAGGGTGCAGGCCGGGTTGAGGGACCACCCTCTCCCATGAACAAATTTCATGCACCGGGCCTCTAGTCTTAAGATAAAGAAGGAAATGGAATGGGGGAAGAATATGAACCCACACAATGTTACACTGAGTGGGAGGAGAGTGGGGCTAAAAACAAGTATTAAAGAAAGGCCATGACTAGGTGCTGAATATTGAATGTGCTCTCCCACAACAGGTGTTTCTTTAAGGAAAAGTAGCTCCTCTTCAATATGTGACTAGGAAAAGAAGTCAGGACAGCATGAGGTCACTTTGGTACATACACCATTTATCCTGGCAAGGCAGCCAGAGCCGTGGTGGAAAATTAGGGTCTTCAGCAGCAAATGGAAAAAGCCCTAGGTCTGTGCACTGCATTAGCCACAGGAGCATTTTTGGACATATTTTAAGAATTTTTAAAACTTGTATCTGTACTCAGGCCTCATCCTCAGCAGTGTGTACCAGGCTCGCTGCCTCACCAATCAACCACTGGCAGCAGCTGCTGTCCAGAGCTTCAGGACTACGTGCTGTCCTGCTCAAGACCAAGTGTTGCAGCTGAGCACATGCTCTTGGTATGTGCGGCTACACTCCTGGCTGTGGCAGCCTCCAGCGATGCTCAGCTGCCTGCCTACGCAGCACAAGTCCTCTCTTCAGGTTCTATTTATTGCTTTTTGCGGCTCTGATGAAAAAGTGATACAGGTTTTCAGTGGTCTTCCGCAACCCTACAATCCCCATAGACCCTGCCAGATTTTATGAGAGGCAAGATACTGCAGAAACACATAAGTAGTGTTACAGAAGAAAAACCTATATTATTAAGATGAATCATAGTGCTACTGACTAGAGTTTTTTTTTTGAAGATTTTTATTATAAATCCTGACAATAGTGCAATAACTATAAATTCTGTTCAAGGTCTGTAGCACCAAATAACTTGTAGAATAAACACACTTTATGATACTGAGCATCACTAAACTGCAGCATGCCTGGTGACTAAACAGGATTCGGAATGAATGATGAGCAGCATCACAACCTCACCAGAGGGCTCGGAATAGCACTAGGCTCTCCACCAAGCACTCCAAAGACTCTCCTGCAGAACCTCAGGCCCAGCCTTAAGGAGGAAGCAGTGGCCTGCCTTCCCGAAGAAAATAATGTCCCCTTTGCGGGAGGAAAAAGCATGAGGCAACCGAGGACAAATCACATATTTAAGGCAAGCTTTCAATCTGAGCACAAGATACTGGCTTTACAATTAGACTGTTTGCAATTAGATGCAGGCCATTTGTGTGCCAGTGGGACAGCATTTTCCATAAATGCTGTCCGACAGCGAAAATGTCACCTCTCCAGGAAGTGTTTCCCGAACCAGCCAGAAGCAACTATTCTTCCCTTTGAAATCCTCAAATACCTTATAATTTAAAAAATTTTTATTTTTCAATTACAGTGTATAGTCGATATTATTTTGTAATTAGTTTCAGGTATAGAGCACAGTGGCTAGACAATCATATACTTTACAAAGTGGTCCCCCCAATATTTCAAGTACCCTACCTGGGTACATAGTTAATATTACTGACTACAGTCCTTTGCTGTACTTTACATTCCCAGGGTCATTTTGTGATTACCATTTGTAGTTCTTAACCCCTTCACAGTTTGTTCACTCAGTCCCCCACTTCCCCTCTGACAACCATCAGTCATTTTTTAATGGAGGAAGTTAACTCTCCTCAAGAACACTGCAAACATCAAGAGAAATAACACAGAAAGCCCGTAGTGCAGGGCCTGCGCCATGTGCAATAATGGCAGCCACTGTCATCAGGTAATTGTCATTATTATTAACTTTTCAAGGCATTTTCAAATCTATTATTGTACTAGATTCACAATACCCTATGCAACAGGGTATTTGACAGGTAGGGAAACTGATAAACTTAGTTGTTCCAAGACCATTTTAAGGTCTGAGAGCATTATTGGCAGGTCTAATCCTACAAATTGAGTATCCTTATGAGTCAAGAATCAAAATG